TAGATAGATAGACAGATAGATAGATATATATATATAGATAGATACATGGATATATATATATATATACATACATACATACATACATACATACATACATACATACATACATACATACATACATACACACACATACATACATACACATACATACATACATACATACATACATACATACATACATACATACATACATACATACATACATAAACACATACACATTTATTTATATAGATATACGTACATATATATAGAATTAAAGCATAGGAATAAAACATTCCAGGGATGTATTTCTCTGGTTCTTTGGTAAGATGAAGCGCCTGACGGAGTTCGGTCATGCGCCAGTTGCGGGATCGGCATCGGCAGCGGGGACAGCGCCCGCACCATTCCCAGCGGGATCGGCGCCCGCAGCTGGACTGCTGCCCTCGCTGGGAGAACACTGGGATGAAGGGGCAGAAGGGCAACCTGGGATCTCCAGCGGCGCATCTTTCGTGATCGCCGACGAGGTCCGTCCTGCCTCACCACCTGGGGCTGCTCAGACGCAGCATCTCGTACCATCTACTCCGCAGGGGCTGCGGGCTCCACAGACTTGCCAGGGGTAGAGGCTGAGTCTCTTCTTGATCTTCCTCTTGATCATCGCGATCCTGCAATTTCAACTCGGACCGGCTCATTGCTGCAGACATTCACTGACAATGCCGCGAGAAGTTGGGGCTTGCAGTGTCTGGCTCGGCCCATGCGCATGCGAATGCGCATGCCCATGCCGATAGCGTCGCGGCTAGGGTAGACCTCGGCGAAGCGGCCGTGAACAGCTGGAGCGATCCATCTTGGGAGCAATGGCCAGCTGACGAGGATCAGCAATTGCGATACTTGGGGGTGCAAATTACATAGGCCGCACCTCGGCCCCACTGGGGGGCCACATGCGAACCCTACCCCTACCCCCCAACGATTTCTGAGGGGAGGGTGGGGTTCACTTCGCTCGGGAGCTCCCGAGCGCAGTGAATCCCACCTTCCCCCTCGGAAATCGTTGGGGGGTAGGGATAGGGTTCGCATGTGGCCCCCTACCCACGCAACCGGACCGGCGGGATCAGTGATCGGTGCCCGCTATGGCTATGGGAGGGTCGATGCCTGCCGTGGTCTCGTCTCCCGTGCTGGCCGTAGCGGGGTCGGTGCCCAGAGCAGGATCGGCACTCGCAGGGGCCGAGCAGTCTAGCCTGGCGGACGGCGCCGCGCCGCCCGGCGGAGGCGCGCCTGGATCACCGGTAGCCATAACAAACGTGCGATGCTCCATCTAAGCAATGTGTGTGGGGGGCAGGATTTGCTCCCCCTCCCCCCCCCTCCCCCCCAAGTCTGTGAGCATCGAGGGATCGATTCGAGCATCATGTGAAGATTGTTTTGGGATTCCGTTTCTGTCCATATAGTTGCGTGCGTAATGGGGCGCGGGCGGGAGAAGCGGGTTTGCTGCAGCGCTTCTCCGGTTCCGCAGCCATGTGCCCCAGAGGCCCCGCAGAGGGCCGTGCTAGCAGCGCGCTGCGCACTGTGCACCAGCGTTGGGCCTAGGGAAACAGTCATTGCGTGTAGACGCAGACTTGTTTCGATCCCGCACTGTACTAGTTGCAACATTCGTTCTTGAGGTCCCGATGGCTCTTCCTCGCAATCATCAGCGGGCTAAGAGCGGTATAAAATGAACTTTTCGCTGTCGGGGGTGCCTGTCCCTGGGCGGCTGGAAAGTTTATACTCCTACGGTGCCACCGTAAGGGTATAAACTTTCCAGCCGCCCAGGGACAAGCGCCCCCGACAGCGAAACAGTTTATTTCATACCGTTCTTCGCCCGTTAAAATCATGCTTGCTCGCGCGGAGGCGGTGCCGGGTTCAGCGGCGGCTTCCAGACGGCGCTCCAGCTTTCGACCAGCTCTCTGGCTCTCCCGCTCCGGGGGCAGGCCGTAGAACTACAGAGCCAGACGTCGAACCTGCAGCAGGTTATCGGCCAGAGCCTCGGGCAGCTCACGAGCCCAATCCAGGCTCGCCGCGGCGCCGTGCGAGAAGCCGCGGGCGCGCGGCGCGTCCGCCGAGAGGCGCCCCCCGCGCCGCGAGGAGACGTGACTGAGGACCAGTTCGGGGGCTACATCAGCGACCCCGGAAATATTCAAAGGCTTGAACAGCGGCGCCTGGAAAGTAGTTTTGGAGTCTCGCGGGGAACTCAAGAAACGGGCCGACATGTTCGACGAACACAGAGCCAACGAGGATGTCTGGAAGAAGGATGTGCGCACTCGTTGCAGCGGCGGGACGAAAGTGCAGCGGCAGTGGCCTGGAGAACGCGTGCCAGTGGCCAGGCCCGCTGACTTTGAGTCCGAAGCGCAGCTGGGCAATCTCGGAGATTACCGCGTCGCGAAAGCAGGGGCGAGACTCCAGGGGCGGCGTGCCGGGCGGTGCTGAGATTTTGTAAATTCTCGCGCCGACGGCGTCGTCGCGTTCTACGCGGACAAGCTCTACAGTAGGGGTCTTGAAGAAGGAACCCTTTTCGTTGGGGAGGGGCTCGGCGCTCCTGGATTGTTTCAGAGTCTGCCTCGGGTTTTCTCCTGAGGTTTCCACGGGAAATCGAGGTTGAACTTATGGGAAAAAGGGGCCTCGTTTCTTATTTACGGTAGGTTTGCGACGTGTCGACCAGCGGCGACCCCAGCGCGGGCGTTCAAGGTTGAACGCCGGCGGCGGCCCCCCAGAATCGGTCGATGTTGAACGATCGGACGTTGCGGCAGCGGCCGATCGTTCAAGGTTGAACGATCCCTGCGGTGTCAAAAACCAATGCTGGGGTCGGCACGACACGAACCTGCCGTAGGGTTCCTTAGGTCAGCGCCTCGACTGTATTCGTCGGTTCTTGCCCAGGGGTGGGCGGCGGACCTCCCCGGCCTCTCTGGGCAGCGCGTGGGAGATGCCGCGCGGTCGAGCGGAGGAGCAGGCTCTTCGGGAAGGGGGCGCGCCCACTGCGCCGTCGCGGTGCGGCGTCAGCCCCTCGCCGACAGCAGGAAGGATCGGGGGTGGACAGACCTCCTGCTCTGACACGTCGATTAGTGAATCGGCCGTTTTCGCTTCGCGAGAGGGCGTCGCGGCCGTCATTTTTGCGGGTCCAGGCCCGTCGGTTTCGGTCCCAGGCCGCTTTCACTAAGGGGAGGCCTACTAAAGGGAGGTTTGTCCACCGCCGAAAGAAGGAGTATTTCAAGGCGAAGCGCACTGATGAGACCCGCGCTGAAGAGTTGGAGGCGGCCCGGGCGTAGTTCGAGAGCGCCGACGTGCAGGCCGTAGTTGCCGTGGCCAGGATTTTCAGACAAAGGAAGTGTCAATAATTGCAGCTCCTGGCGCCATCGCGCGCTATTCCTATTGGGGAACAACTAGACATGATCGATGAGTACTTGAAGGGGCCCTGGCGGCGGGGCGGCCGCAAGTCGCTGAGGGGGCTCCGGAGCAGGGGCGGCTCGGCGAAGCCGAGCCGGGCTGCTCCGCGGGATCGACCGAAGTCTTGGGATTGTGATCGTCGCTCAGTGCGCGTGACAGGGGCCCCCTGAAGAGGGCCGCGAAATGCCCTGCGCGCCGAGGCCTTCGACGAGTGTTAGACCAGGGTCTTCATCCAAGGGCCAATTCAACCGCGTCCGCGTCTTCGCAGTCTTCGGGCAAAACGTCGGGAGGTGGCAGAGACGGTTGCGGCAGAGGCCGCAGCCGCGGGAAAGGCCGAGGCTGGCGTCGGGGGCGGCGCAGCTGAGGGGCCGCGCCGCGGGCGACGGCCCTGGAGACGCCAAATTGTGGGATCGATGACAGTTGCACGATGAATGGTTCTATCAAGTTGTATTTACCTTTGTCAAGATGAGAGTTGAAGAAATCCTTCGCAAGCCAGTCCCGAGGATGGCGTATCTTGTGGGCGCTGCCTTTGGGGGCGCCACACTGCGCGTCAAAAGCTGCCAAGGTAAATCCTGCGAGTTTTCGCCGCGGCCGGAGCTGACATTGAGGACGCTTACAGATGCGATTTTCCAGACACTGCGAAGATGGGCCTGGGCCTTGAAGCTCCAGGAGAGGTCCAGGGAAAGAAGAGACAAGTACTTCGATCCCCGATGGCAGAAAGCCTCGTCTGTTGGGGACCAACGCGGAGGCGTTTTTTCCGGGCGGCGCAGTGTATCCGACAGGGTGCGCATGAAATGTTCAGCTCCGCCGCCTTGGTCGCGGACGCACCCGGAAGCAATTTTTCCAGGCTGCACGTCTAAAGCATGGTTGAGGGAAAGCAGTTCCTCACATCTGGCCGTCGAGACGGATGAGAATCTGGGGATTGCAGATTGCTTCTCTGGATGGGTCCAGGAACCAATTCGGAAGCATCTGATGTCATCCCGCGTGGAAGTCGACGCAGACGAGGTTTTGGATCTCCTTCGAAAACTCAGAAACGGCCTGAATTTGATTGTGGAAGGAGCTTTACGGAGAGGGGTCATCGCAGATGGGCGAGCAAAGTTCGTTCGCTCGAATTTGACCTCGCTCGTCATTTCGCTCTTCTGCATCAGCACCAAAATTCACAGATCGCCAATCTAGCCCCTTCCGATACATAGCAATTTCCCCATCCAAAAGCATTGCGATGCAGTGGCTGTTCCTGCATTGGACATCGCAGCAAACTGCGAACACGACGTTTTGGGCGACGACGATGTTCACGGCGCTTGGCGTAACTTCCATGTGCCGGAACCTTAACAGGTTCGACGAAACCGATGGGGTCCTCAGCGTGCTTGTCCCTGTAACCAAAACACTTTTCATTGACAGACGCCGCGGGGCATTTGATAATTTTCTCTCGGAGCTTTTGAAACTAATCTTGCAGGAGCCCGCGTTTCGAGCCGCTCCATCCGCCTGATTTTTTACTCCAGCGGATGGACTCACGATTGGATTAAGTTGCGCAGGGGGGGGTCACCGCGGGGAGGATGGCGCTCCCTGTGGCCACTCGGTGGAGTAGCACGGAGGAGGCGGGGGAGCCGCGGGGGTCGGGCGGCCAGGAACGGCGGCGACGCGGCAGCCGGTGCTGTGCCGGAGGCCCAGCAGGTCGCCGTGGTGGACAGGAGCGGCCGGCAGTGGTTGGCCGGGGCGCCAGCGCGAGTTTCCCATATCTTGCCCTGGCGTTCGCCTCGTGTTCGTCCTCCTCCCCCTACTATTCTTCCTTTCCTTCCTTGCCTCCCTGCTTCCTCTTCTGCAGATTTGCCATGTATCTTGTACACCATGTGTCGAGGGTGGACAGAGCCCCCACCCTTGCACGTCGATGATTGAATTGTGCGTTGTCGGTTCTCGAGAGGGCGCCGCGGCCGTCATCTTCCAGGCTGGCGCCCGCCAGGTGTGGGCCCGGGGTCGTTTTCAGTAAACCACGTTTTGCCAAAGGGGCTTCTGTCCACCCCCGAACGTAGCACGTGTTCCAGACACCACGCGTTCATCGATGGAGGGAGCAAGCGCGTAACCCAGCAAACAGGAGGTCAATGCGGGGGAACTTGGGTGGACGGACGGGGCCGTGAAACACTGGCAGAGGTCGAGGCCCACGCGCTCCCGAAGGAGGTGCACGACTGGTGTGCTGCGGGGATGCCGTGCTTGGAGCCATGTGCAGCAAGATGCATGCCGCGGCGTGGAATGCAAACTCGGGCCACCGGGCGAACGATTGCATGGCGATCCATGTGCGTACTTGCTGGCGCGCGGCTTCGGTGTTACCCCTGTTGATATTCGGGGGTGGCAAAGAGGGGGGTGATGACTAGGGGGGGGTGGATATCATGGCGGGGGCCATGATATTTCCCCAGATTTCATGGCGCCTCTTCTGATATCATTACGTCCCTGGCCCCCCCGCTGGGCCGCGCACATGCCGCCGGTCATGATTTGTACCCCCCCCTCTTGGACACCCCCCTCTTGGCCGCTCCCGAGATATGTGCACCTTGGCCCTTCAGGTGAGGCTGGCGCGTGGCCCCCCCCGCAGTCCGAACGGAGACAGGGGCTCGGGACGGTCGGGCACGGGGCCGGTACCAGGGAAGCCCGTGGCAGCGGAGTGCCCCCAGAGCCGGGGGCGGTCGGGGACAGGGCTGGGCCATGGAACTTCGCGTTGCAGTGAGGGCGCGCATCAAGAAGCCATGTGCTTTTCGTCAGGGTATCTTGGGTTTCTTCGCTCCGCGCGCTGCGCGGTGACTTCCCTAGGGGGCCACATGCGAACCCTACCCCTACCCCCCCACGATTTCTGAGGGGGAGGGTGGGGGTAGGGTTCGCATGTGGCCCCCTATTCCCGCAGCCGTGGAAGAAACTGCTGCGTTCAGGGTGCTCCGGGGGCTTCCCCTCAGGTGCACCTCGCGCGCGGGTTTTCAGGGTTGGGTTTCTTGCGAGGGTTTCTTGCGGCCGTGCCCGCACTGTAGTGGAGGGCAATCGCCAAGGCCGGGGAGCGCCAGGGACAGGGCCGAGACACGGAAGCTGGCGGCAGCGGAAGGCAGCGCCAGGATCAGGATCATTCGGGGACATGGCCGACCGAGGAAGTTGGCGGCTGCGGAAGCAGCAAACAGCATTCCATGGTCGGAAGAACGCCTGCAGTGCAAGCGCGGGTAGGTTTTAGGGGGAAAACGAGCTCTTCGACGACAAGTCGCACGCACCACTGCGGACGCCCATTTCTGCAGTAGGGGCAATTTCTGATGCAGCAGCGACAGTTCAGTTGAGAAATGACTGGTTCGGGTCAATCATTGTTCTCCTCCTCCCCATCTTCCTCCTCTCCGTCCTCGCACAGAAAGGTTTTTCTCCCCGATTCTTTCAGCGTTATTCGCATCCCTGTCTTCCGGCCCAGGGGCGGCTGGTACAAGTGGTGCTCGTGGACCGGCTTGGCCGCTGTGCCGCCGCCGCAGACGTGCGACTGCTGTGGGTGCGCGCGTTTTCTGCAGTCGCCGCTTGTTCGATCCATCTTTCCCGCACGTGCGGTGGAGAGAGAGAGAGAGAGAACAGAGGATGAGGAGGAGGAGGAGGAGGAGGAGGAGGAGGAGGAGGAGGAGGAGGAAGAGGAGGAGGAGGAAGAGGAGGAGGAGGAGGATCAGGAGGAGGATCAGGAGCAGGAGCAGGAGCAGCATCAGGAGCAGCATGAGGAGGACGAGGAGGAGGAGGGCGGAGGAGGGGAAGGTGGGCGGAGGAGAAGGAACCGCACATGGGCAGTGGGGGGAGGAAGGGAGGAATAGGAAGGGCTGCAGTGGGGGAGGATGAGGGGAGGAAGATGAAGAAGGGGCAGCATGGGGTCGAAGGCGCTGGGGTTCGATGCAGGCAGGGCGCGGACAGCCATGGCGGGCTCAGGGAACACGAGGGGCCCCAGTGGGGCTTCTGCTTTCTCCTCCTCACCCTCTCCTCGCCCTCGTCCTCCTTCGCCCTCGTCCTCCTCGCCCTCGTCCTCCTTCGCCCTCTCCTTACCGTTCTCCCGTCTTCTTCTCTTCGCCCTCGTCCTCCTCCTCCCCCCCGCATCGCAGCGCACGCCGAGGCGCGCAGCGCAAGACACCTGTCAGAGGGCAACAACATATGTACATGTACGCGGTTTGCTTCCGCCGAATTGCGTTTGAGCGTGGAGGTTCGTGCAACGAGGAGGAGGAGGAGGAGGAGGAGGAGCAGGAGCAGGAGGAGGAGGAGGAGGAGGAGGAGCAGGAGGAGGAGGAGGAGGAGGAGGAGGAGGAGGAGGAGGAGGTGGAGGTGGAGGGCGTACATGTACACATGTCGTTGCTCGGTCAACCTGTGCGCCCCGCGGGTGCTTCTGCTGTGCAGGCTCTCCCCGATCCTGTGGTCAGGCGGGTTTGCCGCAGCCCGCGCCCGCGGCCGCCGTGCCGTGAGCGGCGGGGCGCCGTGCAGCATCGGGCTGATCTACCCGACGGGCTCGTCGAGGCTGCAGCAAGAGGCGGTTCACCGCGTTGGGCTCGCGGCCTGCAGGTGTGCAGAAGTGGACGTGCGGGTTTGGGCGCTGATCGCCATCTTCCCGTGCGGAGGCGATGAGCCTCCTGCTACGTCGCGAGGCCCCGGTAGTCTCCCCGCAAGGCGACAACGCCTTGTGACGGGACTACGTCTTCGGCGAAGTTCAGCAGCCAAAGCTTCAGCCATGCTGCGGATCCTGCCAGTCGGACTTGCAGGATGGTGTCTTCACCTTGCCGCCCGCCTGCTTGCCGCCCTACGATCTCCCCATGGCCAAAGATCGGGGGCAATGCAAAGCGATCAACACGAGCATCTGAGAAGAGCGGTGCCGGCTATATCCTCACGGAGGCGGACCAGCGCAAGGCAGAAGGGCGCGGCCCAGAGCGCGATGTACGGTATCCCCTGCCAGCCTTGGCGCCCCCTCTTTGGCTCGACGGACCTCCCCACGTACACCGCCTGCCCCCTCTTGCGCCGACTGTTGGTCCTTAGGACGCAGCAGAGGGGTCTCCCCACGAGCTCCCCCAGACGGCCCACGAAACAGCTCCTCCAGCGCATTTCCATCTTCGTGGACCTTCTCATCCAAAGCGAGAAACAAATCGTTACTGTCGGTCCTCCTGCCCGTCTCTGAAGCTTGTATGCGCGCGCCGTTTCGAGCGTTTGGGTCTCGACAATTTGGAGGATAGGGTGCTGCTTGCGTCTGAGCGGACGAAGGGGTACACGCGCCTCTCTCTCAGCGCGCGCGTATCATAAACCTCGCCTCAACTCAACGGGGATATATTGGAATGTCGCATGATTTCGTGAAGGGTCCGTCCGTCTGCAAGATCCTAGAGAAGGGAATCCCTGAGCTAGGAGACCCGAATATTGACAAAGCTCGAATGTCATGTCAGAGTGTCAGAGTGCTCGAGTGTCAGTGCGCTCGTATGGCAAGCGACTAGCTGTTTTCCGACATGATGACGGAAGAGAAACATGGTGACAAGCGTCATGAAGGACGTCGCGACGGTGACGTTGCAACGTTCCGACACGGAGGCGATCTCACGACAATCAATATCAATCACAGAAGCGTCAACTTGTTCAAATGAAAGGACCTCGTTTCGTGTTTCCCGACCCCGTGGGACGTAACATCTGGACGCCGGAAGAATTCCGTGACCCTTGCTTTCAGAGTCGGGTTCGTGAAAGATGATTATGAGGGTGGCGTCAGGGTGGATGACTTGGCGACCCCCACGACCTGACGCGGGGAGAAGCGGTCGGCTTGAAGAAGAGCCATCTAATGTGGAAGGCGACCAGCCTCGTCTTGCGAGTGGCCCGATTGCGTATCTCAGCCAACAGTCAACGTATACGGAATGAATTCAGGGAGTCCTCGCGTCGACATCGAGGCGATCGAATCCCCTGGTATCGACGTTTCGTCTGCCGCTGGGAAAGCCCAAGTATATGTTTTGTCCCCTCTCGGGTTTGGAGAGCGGCTCCTGGGTCATTCAGACAGTTCAGAGCCGCCTGAGCGGAACGACGCCCGATGCGTCGTGTATCAGTCCCCACAGCTGGCACCGAAGAAGTGGCTCGTGCATTCGGGCGCGGTAGGGGGGGGGGCCGTTGCCCAGCGAAGTGTCTAACGCGTCGAGGAAGGCCCGGGAAGAAGACCATGATGATGCAGTATTGGGGGAGAGGGGGCGAGGAGGCTCCGCCCTGTGCCATCGCAGTCTCCCGCGCCTGCTACGCAAACCGTCGAGAACAGGGGAGGAGGAGGAGAAGGAGGAGGAGGAGGAGAGGAGGAGGAGGAGGAGGAGGAGTAATGAGGAGGAGGAGGAGGAGGAGGAGGAGGAGGAGGAGGAGGAGGAGGAGGGAGGAGGAGGAGGAGGAGGAGGAGGAGGAGGAGGAGAGGAGGAGGAGGAGGAGGAGGAGGAGAGGAGAGGAGGCGGAGGAGGAGGAGGAGGAGGAGGAGGAGGAGGAGGAGGAGGAGGAGGAGGAGGAGGAGGAGTAAGGAGGAGGAGGAGGAGGAGGAGGAGGAGGAGGAGGAGGAGGAGGAGAAGGAGGTATTATCATGTTCGGGAGCGGAAGAGAGGGGGGTAACGACTAGTCGTCGTCGTCGTCGTCGTCGTCGTCGTCGTCGTCGTCGTCGTCGTCGTCGTTTTAGTGTGTCGTCGATTTTTTGTGGACCCCCGACCTCCAAGGATTCTTCCGTGTTTCCGGCCCCCGGGGGCCGCTCTCGGGGCCCAGGAGCGCCAAAAACGAACCCAGGACGAAGACCTGCCCCGGCTGTCGTCGTCGTCGCGCATTTCTCGGGGGCGGAAAAGAGGGGGGTGATGACTGGGGGGGGGTGGAGTTCATGGCGCGGGCCATGATTTTTCCTCGGATCTCATGGCGCCTGTTCTTATCTCATTGCATCCCAGGCCCCCCCGCTGGGCCGCGCACATGCTGCCGGTCATGATTTGCACCCCCCCCCTCTTGGACACCCCCCTCTTGGCCGCTCCCGACATATTCGATCAGACAGTGGATGGGCGATGCTCATCAGGAGGGGAAAAAGCACACAGACACAATTAATCGTCGATTCTCCAGGAAATATAGGAAAATATGGGAAGTGGGGGGAAGGTAAAAACCCACAGTGGATGGGCGATACTCCAGATTTCGCAATAAAAGGGAGGGGGTCTGGACCCTCCAAGGCAAGCCATTTCAGACCTCCCCCGTGGGAGAACCCTCCAGAACATCCTCCCCAGACCCCCCCCGGGCCCTCCAAGATAGCCTGGAAGAGACCCCCCCCCGAAATGAGACCCCCCTCCCTTTATTACAAAATCTGGAGTACTCATCAGGAGGGGAAAAAGCACACAGCCACAATGAATCGTCGATTCCCCAGGAAATATAGGAAAATATGGGAAGTGGGGGGAAGATAAAAACCCATCACATGTAGGAAGAGATGGGGGATCCTGCTATTTGTGTGTATTTATTTGTGTGTCCTTGGGCCCCTTGAATTCACCAATTCTTGAGGCTGCTGCCCCGGGGGCGTCGCTGCACCCTGCCCCCGCGCGATTGAGGTGCTACACGCGGACTCCCATGCGAGGGTGGGCAGATGGCCTGAAGTCTGTCATGCGGGACCCCGCTGGCGTGAGCGCGGTGGATTTTGGGGTTCTGCGCGAGGCCACGAAGGAGGAACGCGATGGGCATCGGAAGGGAGTGTTAGACCTGATGCGCTCTGTGCCGGGGGGTGCCCCTCCCTCGTTCGACGTGGACTGCGAAAGGGTCCGACCAGATTCGAGCCTGGCGTGTGTGGTGAGGCTTGGAGGCGTAGTGACTAGGAACGTCCCGTTTGCAGGGCCAGAGCCGATCTTCGGGGCGGAGGGTTCGGATTGTTCCCAAGCTGAGCCGTGGCGCTGCGCGCCCCGTTCTGCGGTGGGGGTAGGTCTGGGGGCGCCGCGGAAGGGGGGGGCGGATGTGGCTCCGTTCGGGCCAGTCTGCTTCCCGCCGTCGGCACCGCCGTCCCCGCGCCCGCGGCTGGCTCTGCCGCCTCGGGCCAGGATGACCAGATGAAGATGGATTCTGAGAGGCTTGCGGGTCGCGCGAAAGACGGCGAGGGCCGCCGCCGAATCGGGTGGCGCTCCGGGCGTTGAACCGGGGGGGCCGCTCTCCCTTGAGGCGGGCCTGTCGTCGACCGCCCGTTGCGCGGGGCGATCATCCAGGCAGAATGACACGCGGCTTCGCAGGGGCGGGAGATGAAATGGGCCCCCGGAGATTGGCAGGCGAACGCATCGCCCCGCTGGGGATCAAATGCACGCGTTATCGGGCAACGAACGAGGCCGAGGCGGTGGTGCTGGAGGGCTCCGATGCCCATCTCGCGCTGTGACGCTTGAGGAGGGGGAGGGCCCATTCTGACGGAAGGTGCGCCGCGTTGGAGACATCGGTATTTCTCCGGACACAAGGGCCCGTGAACGCGAAGCTGCGACTGATGGGCCCAAACTTGATATGACAAGGCTCGGAGCTCATGTAACTGAGTTG